GGGGTGGGTGGTGTCTTTCCGTTTCATAGAACCCTCTTTAAATCCTTTCTTCAATGTCTGGCATTTTTGACACTGTAGAGGTATTTTACTTCCTTGTTTAGGTTTATTCCTGTGTATTTTATTTAGTTGTTTTGAAGCTATTGGAAATGGGATGTTTTCCCCTCTGATTTCTTTTTCTAACAAATTGTGAGATATATATATATATATATATATATATATATATATATATATATATATATAATTTATTTTTTATAACCAAGTCCTTTTAAATGAAAACAAACATTTATAGACAATATTTTGGAATTTGGGCGTCGTTCTTTTCAAACTACTTCCTGCTGGTAAGGGGCGCTGTCATGGGGGATTCTAAGAAGATGCAGAAATCCTGGCTGTAGTCTGCAAGGCTGCTTTGTCCAGCTGTTTTGAATGTAGGATCACTTGGTACTCTGTTTCAGGTGGTCTGGCTTGATCAAACCACATTAGTCTGGAAGGAATCCACATCTTTTCATTTTCTGTGGAAACAAAAATAGAAATCCTTTTCCCCAGTAACTTGTCCTTGAACTTAAATTTTTTGATTCAGAGACTTTTTTTTTAATTTATTATTTTACATGTCTATCCCAGTTCCCTCTCCCTCCCTCCCTCCCTCCCTCCCTCCCTCCCTCCCTCCCTCCCTCCCTTTTACCCTCTCTGCCCTCTCACATGCACCCTAACCACCCTCCCCTCCCATCCCTCCACCCCAATTCCATATGTAGGGGCATGAATTTTTTTTTAATGTGTTCATTTATCTCCTGTTACTTTGCTGAAAATGTTTATCAAGACAAAGAGTTTTCTGGTGGCACTGCCAGGTTCTTTTTAGTGTAGGCATGGATGTGCTGTGCAATATATATATATATATATATATATATATATATATATATATATATATTGTGTGTGTGTGTGTGTGTGTGTGTGTATGTGTTTATGTATTGATGACTAGTTTTATTGCACTGTGAGCTGACAGGATACAATAAATTATTTTGATTCTTTTATATTTGGTAAGACTTGACTTGTAATAGGGTCTGTTTTAGAGAAAGTTTCATGAACTTTCAAGAATGAACATTCTACACCTGTTGGCTGGAATACTCTGTAAATATCTGCTAAGTCCAGCTGATCTACTGTGCAGTTTAACTCAGATTTCTGCATTGACTTGTAATTTGGTTGACCTATCTTGAATAGCAGCGGGGGTGCTTCAGTCACACATGATCATTGTATCTGGACCCATCTAAGCCTTTATGTCTATTTGTTTTTGTTTTATGAAATTGGGAATAGGAACAATGGGTATATCTATGTTTATAATTGTAACATTGCTGCTTTTTCTCTTAACTATTTTGTGGCACTAATTGTTACTAATTTGTTTTAAAATCCAACATGATCCCTACATTGTGGCCTTTATCTTTTCTGACTAATTTTGATTTGAAGTCTACTTTATCAGAGGTCAAACAACTATACATCTTATTTTTGGTTATTTGCTTGTTAGATTGGCCTTTGTCATTTGACTCTCATATTGTTGGTATCTTTTCCAGTAAGGCACATTTCTTGGAGATAGTAGATCTATCTAGCATCTTAAATCAGTTAGCTAGTCTGAATCTCCGGGTTGAGCTGAGACCTTTTGCTTTTCAGGTTATTACTGACAGATACACATCCCTGTAATTTTGTTAGTGGCTTTTCTAATTAGTTAAAATTGATTTTGTTCTTTACTTGCTCTTCTACCATTACAAGATGGTTGCTAGCTTACTGCATGAGACATTTGAATCCCTTCCAAGCTCTCCTTTGTTCATGTATTCTTCACAAGAAATACATTCTCCTATGCTTCATTGGGGTTGTGTTCCTGCTCTGTATATTCTTTCCTCTTCTGTTCCTTCTACTTCATGTATTTATTGGGCTTGCACTCAGTCATTTGCAGAATTCTTGGATGTGGTAGTCACATTCCTTTATTTGTTTTTCCTTACTGATGTTTGAATATAGTATTTTACCAATCTTTTAGATAATTCCTCATATTCTTCTTTTTAGTCAGGTGAATTGATACTTTCTACTGTGATTTTTTTATTTTTACTTAATACATTGAAATTTCATTTCTAATATGTGGTGGTTTGAATGAGAATGGCCTCCAGAGGCTCATAAACTTGAATACTTGGTCACTAGGAAGTGGCACTATTTGAAAGAATTAGGAGGTGTGGCCTTGTTGGAGGGAGTGTGTCACTGGGAGTGGACTTTGAGGTTTCAAAAAACCTATTCCAATCTCAGGCTCTCCTTCTGCTGTCTGTCATCCCAATGTAGAACTCTCAGCTACATCTGTAGCATGATTTCCTCCATGCTGATAATGGATTAAATCTCTGAAACTGTAAACCAGCCGCAATTAAATACTTCCTTTTATAAGAGTTGCTGTGGTTATGATGTCTCTTCACAGCAAAGGAACACTAACTAAGACACTATATTTTATTTATTGTTTTGCCAAAAAATTTCAGCTTCCCCAATGAATTTTCCTCTCTGATGTCAGCTGTTTTAATCCATAGTGCTGATTTTCTGTCTTATTCGTTTTGCCAACTTTTCCTCTATGTGGCTGACTTTCTTCTTTGGATCCTAGAAGTCATAGTTTATTTTTATCTTTTCAGATTACTGATCTTTTTTTTTCCAAGAAAACTTTTGAAATCTTCATCCGACATTTTACTCATTTCACTATCTGTGGGTTTAGTTGTTGAGGTTCGCGATCTAGGGAAGTCATGTTGTTATGGCTTGTCGCATTTCTTATGTATCTATTTGTGATTTGTGCATTTGTTGGTTTATCTGTGTGCTCCAGCTCTGGAGGATAGGCCTTCTTATTGAACAGCCTACTCTTGCTCAGTTCTGAGTAGCACTTTGCCAAGAGAAAACAAATTGCTTTTAGAAGTGGTTTCTGCTCTTTTCTCAACAACAGCAAGCTTTGTAGCCATGGTTATATTTGGCTTTCTTAGCATTGACCCTTCTTCTCAGGCATCTATCTCCTTTCCTTTTGGTCCCTAAGCTCTTCTCTTTTGAAACAGAGTATATTCTTTTTCTGATTCCAACTACTTCACATGCTGACTCATAGTCACCTTCCACTCTGTCATCTTACCTAGACGTCTCCTCAGTTTTATTTCCTTTTGAAAGAAGATATTAATGGCTGGAGAGATGGCTTAGCTGTTAAAAGACATAGCTTAAAGTTCTTGGAAGAGACATCCCTGGAAATGAATTTTAGATAGTGTTCTGGATAGAATTTTGACTAGTGAACACAGTGGGAAGAGTTGGGGAGGGGTCTGGTGGATTCATTTCTGCTTTACAGTTTTGTGTGTGTGTGTGAGAGAGAGAGAGACAGAGACAGATACAGAGAGACAGAGACAGAGAGAGAAAGAAGAAGAGAAAGAGAGAGTTTTCCTAGCAATTATCTCAACAGAATTAAAAAAGTCTACAAGGTCAGCGGTGCTGAGTTAAGGTCACATATTAGTAAGTCTGTGTATTTAATTTGTTTTATCTTCTGGGAGCCACTAATAATCTTTTGATTTGATTGAACACATTTCCATGCTTCAAGTCTGGGCCTGGAGTAGTAATGGGGCATGCCTTCCCCAAGAGCATGGGAAGTGGCTACAGTTCTAAAGTCAAAGATGTTATGCAGCAATTGCCTTCAAGATCAAACATTGTCTTGGGAGGAAGCCCCTTAAGAGTCAGGATGTTTTAAAGGGGGCTTATTAAGGTATATGAAAAATAGCACAGAAGCTTCTAGAAGTCCTAGAAATTGACCTAAATGATCCAGGTGGCTCCCTAAGCAAGCAGCCAGGACCCTTGTGACATACCTGTAGACAGCCTAAGCTGTCTGGAAGAGGTGGAGACATTTGAAATGCAGGGAAAGGCACTGTCCAGCTAGCTGAACTGCCTGCAGGTTGGTCATTGAACCCAGCTTTTCAACTTTTGTGAGGCATGGCCCATGCTGGGGTGGGCTTTTGGCAGTGCAGCTGACTTTGAGTCATTTCTGTTCCTGTTCCTGTTCAGGAGTAATCTATACTCCTGAAAATAATCACAAGAACACTCATTAGTTCACTAAGCTGGACTTTGGTGGTATCCATACTTCAGTCTGTTCAGTATGATGTGAGTTTCCTATCTGGGATGAACAGACATTTGTCCACTTTCCCCAGTGTCTCACATGGAAGATATTAATAAAAGCTGTTTTTTGTTTGTTTGTTTGTTTTTAATGCTGGTGATTGAAATGAGGCTGTTGAATATAATACGTACGTGTTCTACCACTAGGCTATACCCTATCCTGAAATAAACTCCTTTCCTTCCCAAATCGCTTTTGGTCATGGTGTTTTACCACAACAATAGAAACCCTAATTAAGATAGACACAGTATGCTTAAGGCTTTGCACACATACACATTCTCTCTCTCTCTCTCTCTCTCAATCTCTCTCTCTCTCGTTTTATTTGCTTATTGGTTGGTTGGTTTTTGTTTATTGATTTTGATCACAATTCATTGATCTTCCTGAATCTAAAGTTACTGATGTTCAAATATTCCAACAATCTCAACTTGCACTATGAATTTTTGTGCTTCCTTTTGTATACGATTTCTCTTAAAATACATTTTTGTTTAAATTAAAAATAATCTTACTTTACATACCAATCCCAGTTCTCTCTTCTTCCCATACTCTTATGCCCCCCACCAACTCCCTATTCCATCCCCCATTTATTCCCTAGGGAGGTTAAGGCCTCCCAAGAGGGATCATCAAAGTCTGATACATCATTTGGGTCAGGACCTTGGCCTTCCCCTGTGTATCACGCCATGGGGAATGGATTCCAAAAGCCCATTTGTGTACTAGGGATAAATACTGGTACCACTGCCAGAGGCCCCATAGACTACCCAGGCCTCCCAACTGACACCCACATTCAGGAGGCCTGGTTCTGTCCTATGCTGGTTCCCCAACTGTCAGACTGGGGTCTATAAACTTCTACTTGCTCAGGAAAAGTATGCAAAGCTTAACGGATTTGTGTGTCATCCTTTCTCAGGGGCCATGCTAATCTTCTTTGTATTGTTTCAAACACACACACATTTTAAGAGTCTTAAAATACAAATTTGTGTAATGAACTTGGAAATGACAATGAACTCTGTTTTTCTGCAGGCAACACGTCTTCAGTGTGAGACTTCTTTCCATGAATATATGTATGTTTCCTCATTGGGCTGAGGTAGACAGAAGGGAATTCTAAACTTGCAAAATAAGTCTCTTTAATCATGTCTTTTGTTTGGTATTCTCTTGCTTAACATTTGTTTTTCTTTCCTCCCATCTATGCTGTAAGATGGCTGGTTGCCATGCCTGAGGAGAGGGCCACATGCCATCTTGCAGAGGGTGGGCAGGAGACATTATCATCTGCTATATAGCCACTGCATCCTTCTCTTTTTATCAGGCTGATGCACACTGAGGCTTATTTCACACCACTTGGATTGCTAGAAATATGTGCTGTCATGGACCTCCAAAGTCTGTGATTCTGGTCAATTTCTATTTATCAAGAAATCCCCACCTACTGCGACATCTTCCAACTTTTACGCTGTGCCAATCCAGTAGTTGTCTTATTTCCTCTGCATGCTCCCTGCCAGGCATGCAGAACTCCACAAGCTTCTGAAGCCTATGAAACTGGAGGGGAGCCAGAAGCTGAACCTCAAGCTCATCTGCCTTGCCATCTCCATCTGTCAGGGACACCTCATCCCTGCTCCGTGCTGGATGTGTTATGGAATAACATGCCAAGTTACTTCTACAAGCCTACAGACTTTCCTGGGCGTGTCTAAGAAAGGCAGTCCTTGCCTGGATGTCGGCATTCCTCTGGCCTCACTATCATCCCTTCTATGATTTGTAGCAAGATCTGGAATATAGGGGCTAATGAGGTCTGGCTGCATCTCTGTTCAGCCTCTCCTTGGCTATGGGTGTCTTTTATTTCCTGTAATGATCTGGAAGTGTTGGGAGACAGAGTGCTAGATGATACTGGGAGGTAGAGACCAGGAAAAGAAAAGGAAAATCCCCTTCATTTAAAACATTCAAAATAGGAGCTAGAGAGATGGCTCCAGATTTAAGAGCACTGGCTGGTCTTCTGGAGGACACATGTTTGACCCACATGATGCCCCACAACCACCTTACAGTCCAGGTCCAGAGGACACAGTACCCCCTTCTGGCCTCCACTGGCACTGTATGCACACAGTGGAAAGGCTAACATGCCACTCAAACAACCACTCACACAAAATAAAATACACTTTTAAAAATTCAAAATAGTCCCACAGAAAATAAAATCAAGGAACCCAGGAAAGGTAACATATACTCTTGTTCCAAGTCTTATCTGTTTGGAGACAATCCCACTTGAGGTTTTCTACAAGTTTCTCTGAGCCTGGCAAGGTTTTGCATAAGCCTGTTCTGTACCCTCTACTACCTGGAGAAATACATAATCATCTCAGAGCTGTCAGTCACTGGGGATGTGGCTGATGTCAGTGATGGTTCCCATGTGAGGACACAGGGTCCTCTCCTACGATGGAAATGCTTATGGGGGAATCTGAGTACCAGGTTCATGCTTCTGCTGTCCAGGGTGAGAGATACACTTATCTCCTTTCACAGCTGCTTCCTGCCCTGTCTTGGCTGCACTTATCATGTGTAAAGGTCTTTTCACACTAGGCCATGAGGAAGCAGCTAAGTCATTCATTCTCTTAGAGACTTCTTGTGAAACCTGCATGGATTTTGACTGTAAAAACCATTGTGTATAAGCATGCTTCTATTGTTGTTTATTGTGGACTATGTTAAAGGATCTAGGGTATTGCTATTGAATCAAGCCAATCATCAGAATTTCTTTTTCCAGGGTACTTTTGTTTGGGTTGCAGAAGGCTCCTTTAATCCCTGTGCAGATGCACCCTTTATGCTCACTCTGGAGTTCCTATCTTCACATATGTGCAACCACTTCCTCTGTGTTGGATGTGCCCTTTTCTGTCTTAATTCAAAGAAGCTTTTGTCACCTATATGAGGCCCCCAGGAGACAAGGACTCCTTTGTGGAGAGAGGACAGAACCCATGAGGCTCAAAAGGTTTACAAGCCTTCACAAATTCCTCCAAAAACCATTCCTTTCTCTGCAGTTGTATGAGATGAATGATTGACTGGGGCTTGGGGCCCTTTGGTAATGTAGTTGCCTGTAAGTTTCCCAGAACACCTTTCAGTGATGCGACTGCCTGAAATACCCCCATAAGAAATACTCCCATAAGAATACTCCCATAAGAAATACCAATAAACACATTGGTTCACCAAGCTGGACTTGGACAGATCCTTTGATGCCTTCTCTGTCTGGGAGGAATAGATGCTTTTATATACCTTTCTAGGGAAAGCCCTGTGAAACAAATAATTTACAAATGTATGGTTTTCTGTTCAATTCTGCAAATGTGTGCAGAAATACCTTGTGAAATTTTTGCTCACACCCACTTTGAATGACTTCAAATGATAGAAACTCTCTCTCTCTTCTGAGTTGGCAAATGACTTGAATTGATAGAAATGCTTGAGATATTTAACTCCTGCTCCAATTTCCCAAATTACATAGCAATTGGTTATAAGCAACCTCATTTGTATGAGAGTCTTTTGAGTAAAGATATCTGCTTTACATTTCTCTTCCTTCTGTGCTTTTTAGAGTTAGGTTCTTATAGTAAATCTTCTTTTCCTATACTGGTTTGCATTACTTTTGTATGTCCTTCATTATCAAACTAGGAAAAAGTAAAAAAAGGAAAAAGAAAAAAGAAAAGAAAAATGTGATGAAATGGATTGAAGTTAGCTTCCCCATCCCAGCCAATTAGGACCACAAATAAGGGAGACTGTACCATCTATGCTGGTTGGGTGAGACAGAACCGTTCTTGGCTGACAGGTGGGCACCTGGTAATAAAAGCAGGAAAGAGGAGCCAAAACAATTCCAGTTGTCGCTCAAGATTCTCAAGAAGTCAGCTTAACATCCACAAGGAGGGCCATGCTTTCTTCCTGTCCCAGTAGTCTGTGCATGCCTGGAATAGTATGCTAATTTGAAACAATCAATTAATTCTTGTTAGGACTAGATGTGCATGTCCTTAGTTAGGGAGAAGTAGTATTGACCTCTGTGGGAATTATAAAGAGTGAGCCAGAGCGAGCAGAGGCTGTTTATTCAGTGATTGACATAGTGAGTGAGAGAGTCACTTGTGCTTGGCAGAGACTGCAAGGACAGGAAGAGCAGGAAGCCTAACAGTGGGAACAGGAGAGTTCTTCAGACGTGCCCTGCTACAGGCAGCTGGCACGGGGAAGTTATGGGCTAACTAGAACTGAGGCATTCTGTGGTTGCTTAGGGGCAAATATTTGGCTTATTCTACTTAGGCCCAAGCTGGAAGTGGGGACAAAAAATAGGGATGTTGCCAGTTTTTAATCAATTTTTGGCTGTGTGGGACAGTTTTTTTTTTTTTTTAACTAGGGCTGTTGTTTCGCTCCTTGAATGGTTTCTTGGAGATGGTGAGCTGACATCTTACAGATCTGACGCAGCAGACTGGCCTCCTGGCTGCTGTCCTGACTCATTACTGAGGACCGCAAGGGTTCTCTTGTTACATATGGTCTGGCCACTGTCCATGAGTGTATTCAGCCACTCACTTCACTAATGGAGAGTCAATTCAAACCAGACCATATGTTGTTCTCTTTCACACATTTATGATGCTAAAGTTCATCTCCGTGGACTCAGAGCTTCAGGCAAATAAAGCCAACTGAGACCTCTGGCTGATAATGAACTCATTATAATTTGTGGGACACAATAGGGTGCTGTGGCATTTCTGCAATGGGAGAGTGGATCCTGAAGGAAGAGGGTAGACTCCTTTGCTTATAGAGAAGCTGAGGGGGCCAAAGGGGAAAGGAAAGAGGATGACTGAGTCAATAGAGGGCATTTTCCAAAGGCTTAATAAGTCTTAACCTGTAGGAACAGACCTCCATGTTGTAATCTTTATTGTTTTGTGCTGTTGGTCTGGTCCATACTGAAAACACTGATTGTCCTTGTACTTGACAATGGTTCTGTGTGGGAGATTGGTATAGTAATGCCATACCCGAGAAGGGACACGATCTGATCAGCTGGTTGGGCTCTGGAAGAGAAAGTGTGGAGGACCCAGCCTTCACTTTTTCCATACCAGGAATACTATTTGATGGGAAGTTCTGCAGGCAGGTAGGGATGTCCCATGAACAGCTTAGATTGCTTTCATGGATCTTCCTCTGGAGTTTTGTGACAAATTAGGGGAGTATGTACTACCTAAGCAGCATTTAATTATCTTTTTTTGTATTATTTACTTATTTTTACATTCCAGTAGAAGTCTCCCCTTCCTCCTCTCCCCTCAGTTGCTCCCCCTGACTTCACCTCTCCTTATCCACTCCTCCTGTTTCTCTTCAGATAAGAGCAAACCGCTCATTGATATCAACCAGCCATGGTATTCAAGTTGCAGCGAGACTAGGCACCTTCTTTTCTATTAAGGTTGGATAGAGCAATGTAGTAGGATGAAAAGGTCCCAAAAGCAGGTAACAGAGTCAGAGGCAACCCTCACTTCTCACAAGAAGACTAAGTTACACTGCACTGCTGTAACATATATGCAGAGTGCCTAGCTCAGTCCCATGCAATCTTTCTGGTTGTCAGTTCAGTCTCTGTGAGCCCCCGTGAGCCCAGGTTAGTTGGTTCTGTGGGATTTCTTGTGACGTCCTTTACCTCACTGGCTCCTACAATCTTCCTTCCTCCTCCTCTGTAGTATTCCTCTACCTCTGCCTAATGTTGGCATGGATCTCTGCCTCTGTTTCCATCAGTTGCTGGGTTAAACCTCTCTGGTGATAATTGACCTAGTCACCATTCTATGAGTATAGCAGAATATCATTAGGAATCATTTCATTGACCTTCCCTTTTTATTATTTTCCATTCATGTTTGGTCCCATCTAGGTCTCTGGGGTATCCTACCTCTGGGTCCTGGCCCTCAGGCGTGAGCTCACTCTCTGGGTATGGGTCTCCAGCTGGGCCAGTCATGAGTTGGTCACACTCACAGTTCTGTGCCATCTTTACCCTAGCCTATC